ATCCTATGCTTTTAGTTTTCCAAACAAGGAAAGCGATAAGGCAGCAACATGTGAAATGAAATGCTAATTAAAGCGCTATAGAACAAGGCATGGAAATGTACCACTCTGTATGTATGTTTTTTCTAGAGAAAGGAATCCCCATTTACAGTAATTACTTGAATAGACAGTAACTTATTAACAGCTGTATTCCATCCTTATGTAATTGCTGTTCTTTTTCAGATTTTCTTGTCATGCTGTGTGCTTTCTCTAAGCCTGTTCCCTTGCAATTACCAGGAAATTACTCAGTAAACGCATGGCCTTTATAGGAAGTAAAGGGCCCACTGATATAACAAATCTATCTGAATGTGTTTGTATTCATAGCTAGTAGATGATCCCAGCATGGTCCAGGGTCCTACCTCTGCAGTCCAGTAGGTTATTTGTACCATCCAGTACGGGCAATGGCATCATCATTCAGCTGTGGATCTGACCCTTTCAATCTGATGTGCTACTAGCTCTTAGCCAAATCATCCCTACAGCAGTCCCCAGACAAATTGCTTTTTAGGGAGAAGGAAACCATTTTTTATAGTTTGTCCTGGTTCTTCTTTTTGACATACTCTTATTACTTATCTATAGCCAGGATTTTCCTATGCTTATGTACAGACATTCAGAAAACCTGAGGTGGAATTGATCCAAGTTTTAGGCAGTTTTCTGGAAGCACCGCAGTTTAGATGGGTAGCAAACAGAACGCACATTTGCCCTTTGAGCAGGGGTGAGGGGGAGGGTGGTAAATTTTAGACTAGGTTTCACTATTTTTAAACCTGTCTGTGTGTGCTGAACTTTTGTTATGGGTATAGACCAGTTTCTGATCACTTATACCAGTAAAAGTGTAGTGTCTGTACCTGGCCTTCAATATATCTTTTAATGATTGTTTCAGGTCATTGATTTCAATGCCTGGTTTTCAAATTGCATTGTGCATACAATTGTTCCAGTACTGCTGAATTGAGGTGCTGGAGTCCCCACTGGCCAGCTCATGATTTGCACTGCAAAGCACAAGGAAGGGTAGGCAAAGTTTTTGAATAGAGCGATTTAAGGGCATTCCCTTTTGGTGGAGTTTTTTTTTTTTCCTATGAAGATTATTTTTGAGATGGCAAGTGCTCACTATCAGGGCATGTTCAGCTGTCACAGGCTGGTATTCAGAATGACTAGTCACTTTCATAGGCAGACAAGGTTCTTTGGGTGAATCTGATATCTTTTATTAGACCAACTTAAACAGTTGGAAAAAAAAAATCTTAGTAAGCTTTCGGGTTTAATTTTTTACCCCCGACTATTTAAAAGATATCAGAGTTCTAATAAAAGATATCAGAGTTACCCAAAGAACCTTGTTTGCCTATATCCTTAGACCAACGGGGCTACAACCTACACCCCTGTAATCACTTCCATTTGTTTTGGAGGAATAAATGTGGGAAGGAGCTACCCATCTCACTAAAGGCATTTGGGTGTTGTTTTGATGGGTAAATTTAGCCCCTCTGCCAGTTTTTGGAAATGGTGGAGCTGATTCGGTTGTGCAGTCTAATTCAATCAACAGCTGGCACCCTCTATAGAGCTAGGGTTTCTGAGAACTGCACTTCTTACAGTGGGTGACTATGCAGTGTGAATTTCTCGGTAACTTTTTAATTGCCTTAGAAACTGCAGTTTTCCTTTTGGATTGTCTTTTGTGGTTAGACCTAGAGAAATGTAAAGTTCTTCACACCACCTGGCAAGTATCTTCCCATCTCACTCATGCAAAGTACTTTTCTAGAGCACAATTTTAATTTGGAGCAGTAGCACCACAAAATTAACACTTTTTCCAACCATGTTTTGCTTGGATTTTTCTGCTCAGCAAAATTTAGTCTGTTAATAACAACCTCAAAAGCCTTTCATTTGATTAGCACATGACAAATCAAGTGCATCTTGGCAGTTGCACTAATACTGAGAACCTCACTGGAAACATGTACCTTAAATTAAAAAACAAAACAAAACACATTTAAGGGGAAAAAGGACAGCCCTGTTCTCTATCCCCCTCTTATGGTACTTGCCATAGTCACAAACTGAGACAGATGTTTCATTTTGTACCCATCTGCTCAGAACAATTTCTACCACAACACACATACAGTACTTGCCTACATTCCTTTTTAGCATGTCAGAAAGCACAAGGAGGAGCAATATTAAACACTGGGTATGATGCATGCCCTAACAGCTCTTTACTACTGCATTTTGGAGCCCAGTTACACAGCACCCATCTCTCATTTTCCCCTTCGATCTTGACAGTCATTTTGCAGCAATAGGTTCCCTCCAAACTGTGCCCCTCCCACCCCATCTCAGTTGGTGTCTAAGATCAAGTTGGACAGCAACATGCATCTTGCCATGTCCTCTTCATGCATGAAACCAGAAGAAATGCCACTGTGGAACGAGTATGGTGGTAGACCTGCCAGATTTTGTATCTTTCACCACCTCGCTACAATTCTCGTAAAACAAATGTTTTGCCATCCTTCCTCCTCAGCTACACAGGTGTGCTGCCTTTTGCATCCTTTGTGATACAGAAGTTGCACTGTTCTGGGTTACATGCTTTCCTCTCCTTATTCAGTGCTGCTTTTCGGTTGCTCTCTAGTATTTTCTAGACCAATGAATGAGGTTCATTCCTGAATGGCTGAGTAGTTAATTCCCCTTCAAGGCAGTGGAAGCAGGAAGCACAGATGTAGAGGAATGACCATTTTATGGCTCAGAGACTGGACTGGGATTTAAGAGATGAGGACTTGCTCTTGCTGGTGTATGGATTCTCTAGGCAGACCCTGCTTAAGTCCCAGCTCCCCTGGCTCCTATCCCTAGTCTTTGTTCTGCAAATGTAGTCTTTAAGTAGTTTAAGATCGTGACCATCTCTGCTGAAGGAGGGCCCCATTGCCAACAGCCATTCAGGATCTCCAAAGATTAGCCTTTTCAGGTGATTCCCTTCCCCCACCAATGGTCTGACAATGACAACTTCAAGTGGGATCTTCCTTTTTATTAAGATAAAAGAAAAAGACAAAAAAAAGAGAGAAACTCTACACTAAATCTTAATTTCCCATCCTAACTTATTTTTGGATACCATTCATTGTTCTGCTTTCCCAGCTCTGTGCAATCTTGCCATGACATGGGTTCAAACAGTTATTTTTGGCAGTGTTCCACCTTCATTTTGCCTGATGATGGGGTGCTTCTCAGTCCTACTTCTGCTGCTTAGCATTTTCCTCCCACTATAGCTTGAATGCAAATGTTACACCATCCCCCATTGGGATCATACTGATATTGACTCGTGCATCTCGGAGAAGTTTCTCATTGAGGAGGTGGATGCTTTGGGTGGCTAGGTCATCCTTCCTTGGATTTAATACTTTCCCGCTCCACAAAACCTATTGAAAGAAGCATTTCCCAGGCTCAAAGATGATTGTATGTAAAACACACGCTATATCTGAATAGGCCAGGGCTTGGCAACTGGGGGCCTGCAGGCTGGATCTGGTCTGACCCATGGCAGCTCGTGTAATTAGCAGCAACTCACAATAGTGGAGAAGGTGTCCCCAAGGTCCTGTTGTCTGCCTTTTCCTATCAGGTCCCTTTGCAACATCTGCTGATTGCCAAAGGGTGCAGGGGTGTGGCCCATAGTGGCAACCGATTGCCAACCCCTGGACTAAGCTATTGATGCTACTGTTTGTGCCTCCTGAGAATGCTGAAAAACAATCCTGCTGCATTGCAAGACTATACATGTATTTGTGTGCAGCTGTGCATTTTCATAAAAATGCTGTTTTAAACCGTTCAAATCATAACTAAAGACTGTAGGCGCTCAGTTAAATCCAATCCAAAGCCTATTCTGAACGTAGGCAGCGCATTGCACTAGTATGGTTAAGGCACGTGTTATGTTATTGACTACTGACACTGGCATGATATGGTCAATGTTGTGTCAAGCCCAAAAGATTCGTGAGTCTAGAGTTCAATGCCCTTCTCTGCTGAGAGTATTCAGATCTACATTTCCTACCTCCAAAAGGGGTATCTTAACCACCATGCTAGAAGAATAAGTAGTCTCTCAGACTTCTACCGTAAACTTTTTGCAGCAGAGATCACCTTTTGTTCTAAGAACAATGGGATCCTGATCTATGGCTAGGTCTTTTAAGTGCTACAATAACATTCAAATTTAAAAATATTGTTCTTGCTTGTTGTATGTGCTTAAACACTTTGACACCAGCCTTGTGTGTCCCAGTTTTTGCATATCATAGGGATAACAATACCTATATGGTTTTATAGCTGTCTTTACTGTCTTAATACAGAATGCTAAGAGTATACAGAATCTCAAAGCTTTTTGCATATATTAAGCTTTCAACCAGTCCTTCAGAGTAAGAGAGGTATGTTCAGAAATTAGGCAGACATTTGAAAGTCTACATCAGGTATTTCTACACCCACATAAACCCTGATTGCATTGTGCCATACTGTTCAATAACAAAACTAACTGATTAGCAGAGACCTAGGCAAAATCAATTCTACATATACATGGTTTATATTATGTATGATGCATTATAAGAGGATATGATTGTGTAAGGATATCCTTACAATTTGCCAAGGTATTGGTATTCTAAAAAAGAATGGGTATATTCATAGCTGAGCCTGGAGTTTGTTTTTGCAGTTTGCTGCAATAACAGCAGATATTAGGCAGGGCAGAGTGGCACATAACTAATTGTTCATGTAATGAGTTAGTCTTTAAGGTGCTGCCCTGCTCTATCTTCTACCTGACTTCAAACTAATGCAGTTAACAAATACTCTCTGCAGATATTTGGGAACAATATACTTAAACAATGTACTTAAACAAACAATTACAGTGTTTAGCCCCCTTTGTAGTTTAGCAATTGAAATGTAACCATAACTCATGGATTAGATATTTCATTAACACCCTTAATTCTGATGAGATTCTCGGAGGCAGAAGCACTAACTTGCATTGTCACTGCCACCTCCACTTTAGTACTTACGTTATCAATGGCTATTATTCCTCCTTTCCTTACAAGACGCAAACATTTTTCATAGTACTCATTGGAACTTTCTTTATCAGCATCAATGAAAGCAAAGTCATAGGTCTCCGCTTCGCCAGCAGCCAGCAGTTCTTCTAGATAGGAAACAAGGTATGTTGTTATGCCTTACTTTAATATTGCAGAAAGGGATGAGATAATCCAGTCATGTTGAAGGTTTCACTATTATTATTTAGTGTTCCGACAGCCTTACAGATATAGTCTGGACTTGTATGGCTACCTACTGGAAAACTTCTCTCTTGTTCAACCAATCAAAAGCTCATGTTCTACAAGGTCTGTCTACTTCAAGGAAGTTTACTAGGTGGTTTTAAAACTGCCTAGAGGCATGGAGCCTGAATTTGGTTCAATAATAACAAGCCAGGCAGTTTTAAATTGGATTTATGCTCCATCTCTAACTCGTTTTAGAACTTGATGTAGCTGGATTTCTTTTAAAGCTGATTAGAAAAAGTTTCCAGTGTAGAAAGACTCTAGATGTTAAAGGATTTTTGTTTTTCAGGTAAACCAGCTGATATGCAAAATGCCATATCCCAGATCACACACAATTCTTGGCTGAAAAGCATTTGGGCAGCATTGGTAAGGGCATT